GGACTAGATTTAATTTATTTTATCTTTCCGACAAGCTTATTCTGTTTTATCGTTTGGATTAGTTTATTATATTTTATCTTTTCGACTAGTTTATCCTATGTTATCTTTCGACTAGGTTATTCTTTTTTTTAACTTTTCAAATAGTTTACACTATCTTATCTTTTGGACCAGTTTATTATATTTTATCTTTTCGACTAGTTTATTCTGTCTTATGTGTCTTTTTACTATCTACGTCTTTTTATATTATATCCTTGCATATTAATTATAACCAAGAATTTATTCGCCATATTGCTCGATTTTTTTTATCCTTCAACGTACATCAAATTCATTCGGCAAATTATGTAATGGGAAGTTGCATTAAAAAGCAATCGAAATAAGGTGAAATAACTTGATGAAATAGAATAATTAGGAACATTTCCTGGGAATAAAATGCAAGAAAATGAATTGAGTAAGAACACCTTACGTACTAGTGGTTTTATCAATTTGAACAATCATAAAAAATCGAAGAAAAAAAATTTAAATAGAAAATGAAATTATCCAAATACAAGGGCCTGGAGATCGAGATTAACAGGATGCAAGATAAGCTTCCTCATGGTCAATACTGTGCCTGTACCAAACAAGTTGATACACAAACCCCGTACGCATCAGTGGTTACGTATTGCAGGGTGAAAAGCTGAAATTGAAGGTTTTATTCTTCCTGTACAGGACCGATTCTTGCAAACTAGAAATTCCAAAGTACACATACTGAAAAATTGTCTTAACCCCAAATACAGATTTTGGGATAAATATCCAGAAACTATTGACCATCTTGTATCGGGTTGCAGTGTTAGCACCTTTTGAATATAAACTCGGCATGATAGAGTAAAAAACATGCCACTCTTACGGTAAGGAAACTGGTATGAACACAGCCTATACCCGGTTACAGAGATAGGACCTGGAACAATTTTATGGGACTTTACAATACACTGAGACAAAACAATCAAAGCTAATCGCCCAGATATCGTGATAAGAGACCACAAGAACAGGAATGTGCTTTCTTATAAATATTGCAGATTGCAATGTGTCTTTGAAGATCTTCAAAAAACTATCGAAATACAAGGATCTTGAAGTGGAAATCTAAAAAAAAAAAAAAAAGGTGGCACATAATAACATCAATAATTCCAGTTTTAGTTGAAGGACACGGATTGATCGGAAAAAAGGTTCCGATAGACTCATTGAAGGGATTCATGGTAGCCCATGACTTAAAGAAATACAAAATGTTGTACTCACAAGTACAGCTCACACATTTCGAAGAGCTTTATATATGTAAAATGCGTGTGATCTTACGGGTTTTTTTTTGGGGGGGTGGTTACAAAAATGAGCAGTAGAAAATGAAGTCTTTTTTGATCATAGGTTCCTGGTTGGTACTCGGGAGGAAATATGTACACAACAGAAACCCAAGTAAATAATAATAATAATAATAATAATAATAATAATAATAATATTTGAGGACGACTCCGATGATAACATCACTAAAACTCATTTTACAGGGACAGTTGTCAAGAATATTAAAATTTACTTGATATCTATGTCAATAATTAAAACAAAGTAAATGTATTTTTGGGTAGTTATTTTAAACTCTTTGTTACACATTAATTGGGACCGTAGACATAAGTTCTTTTCGTTCAAACGATTCCGCATATGGTGATGTACCTGACCCACCAAAAAGTTAATATTTAATACTCGTGTAAAAACATCCCTAAAACTTAGGCTTATAAATCCGGGAAAATGAGCGTATTATACAATATAATAATATAATAACGGTAGTTGTGCTTCATAAATCCAATCCGATAACCATCTAGACTTATTTTCTACAGTGATTTTAATTTTGAAATTAAAAAAATGCAAATGTGTTTTATTTACGAAAGGGAAGTAGCTGCTATTTCGTTTATTACCGCCAGTGTAGGTATTAAATTGGATTAGCTGACATTCGTTGTCCATGTTCATAGAACTAATAAGATTATCAGACTTGCAAACGTATTCGAAAAATCACTCCATCATTTATTGATATCGAGGACAAGGTTTCTTTTGATGGATAGATCATAATGTCCATGTAATTGGCACAGTTGTGAGAATTCATTAATAATTTACAGCGATGATTTCAACGCCCATACATTTGCAGGAGCAGAAGATCACAGTTCATACCAAAGGATGACAACCATATATATATATATATATATATATATATATATATATATACACACACACACACACATACATACATATATATATATATATATATATATATATATATATATATATATATATATATATATATTCAGTCACTTTCTCCCTTTCGCTTCTATAAATATTTTCATTGTAATTGTTCTGATGAACTTTCCTCTTTAGTATTTCGACTTTTACGAGTTTAAGTTACAATAAGAGAATATATCTTTGTTTCTCATAATTTAGCATTAACAATGATTGTGCGCGCATATATATATATATATATATATATATATAATGAGAATAGAGCAATATGTTATTATTTTTATTGTAAGAGATCATAATAAAAACATGTTGAAATCGCTACACAGAAGCTTTCCTGTTTCAATACTATGATTGTTCTTCTTCAGGCGATGGTAAGTAACTGGGGATGTAATGATGTTTAAGAAAATTTTTAAATAAAGTATTACCCTTTTTCTGAAAGTTACAGAGTGGCGGGTGGGGACATAAGTTCAGAATTAAAAAATCCCCCCCAACACTAACATTCGGAGAATTTTGTGGTATCGGGAGACAACCAATGACAGAATCGGGTAAAAATGAAAACAAAAGGGAGAGGAAGATATCTTGTTGGCTGATGGGACGTGAAGTGAGATTTTACCGAAACTGTTTCAAACATCTCTTTTTTTTTCAAATTCCATAAGAATAGATGATTTTTAAAAAAATTATTACATATATACAAGTGTTTTGATAGAGCTGTTTGATATTTTAGAGACTCGTCTGAAAATGAATGTCTATGTTTGTATAATCTCTGCTTCCAATTCCCAACTGAAATCTCTATGTATGTTTTTTTAAACTTATTTTCATTTAGGAATATGGCTGCTTGGTAAAAGACGTTTTCATGTCAACATTTAACTCCAACTGGGCATTCGTCTTTGGTTCTACAATTGCAAGGGAGCATACTATTAGAATTTTTCTTTTTTAAAGAATTTATTTGATGTATTTCTATTATGAGAATTTATAATAATGTACATGTTACTAGTGCAGGAATAACTAATATTTAGAGATTTTCTATTGAAAAGTTTGTATAGTGGGTTAACGTTATCAAATTGTTTTTCTATTGGTCTATGGAAGTACTTGTCTATATTAATGCTGGATAGTTTACAGTGTGGAGGATTAAACTCTATAACTTTTCTTTGCTTATATATATATATATATATATATATATATATATATATATATATATATATATATATACAGAAGATTTGGAGCAAGATCAGATAGGAATGATAGAGGAAAGGATGAGGAGAAGGATAGTGGATAGATCAAGGCAACTGGAGATGTCGATTGACATTACATTTGAATAGTTGGAGATTATAGCTCTCAGTGAGACAGGAATAATGAAGGGAGTTCCACAGGCGAGTGGTGCGATATTCTATTGGAGTAGAAGAGACGGCTACATTTAATATTTTCAACAGTGAAAGGGTGAGAGCGGGATGCCAGCCTCGTAGGGCGCTTGAATTCATGAAGTCTGGGAACCAGCGAATGCAGCTCCTCGGAGCAATTTCCATGAAAGTATTTGTAAAAAAGACAGAGAGAGGCGACGGTGCGTCTGTGAGAAAGTGGCTGTAAACGAGACGCCGGAACAGGGCCAATTATATTGCATATCCGCCTCTGGATCTTGTCAAGAACCCCGAGGCAAACAGAAGAGGCCCCAGACCATATATGGCAGCAATACTCCATGCAAGGGCAAATTGTTGATTTGTAGATCTGAAGGATCGATTCCGCGGAGAAAAATTTCCTGGCACAGCACAGGGAGCCAACTTTCCTTGCGGTGGACGACGCAATTGACTCAATGTATTTGTTACATCTCAGGTCAGCAGTCAACGTGAGACTGAGCACCCGCGGAGAAGTGCTCTCGAGAAGTTGAGCGTCAGACATTCTAATGGGGGGGGGGCAAGGAAGGATCTCTGTGGTGATTAATAGAGAGCAGTTTTGTTTTTGAGGCATTAAAGTGAACCAGCCAATTCCTGCCCCAGTTCACAACCAATTGGAGGTCTTTTTCGAGACGCACGGCCAGGTTAGTTTTGTCAGTGAGACTAGATTTGTTTTTGAGGCAGGATTAAATTGTAGTGTCGTCCGCGTAGATGCCAACTTGGGAATCTATGGCATCAGGAACGTCGTTGATGAATAGAGTAGGGGCCCAGGATGGAGCCTTGAGGAACACCTGCGTTCGTGGTATAAGAACTGGAGGAGAATCCGTTGAGAACGACCTTCAATTCACGGTTTGACAGGAATTATTGTATTAGGTCAAACAATCGACCTGTAATACCATAACTCTGGAGCTTGCGAAGAAGGCCGGCATGCCAAACCCTATCAAACGCTTTGGAGATGTCTAGGGCCACGGCACGAGCTTCCCCAATAATTTGAAGAGCTTGGTAGAGAGTTTCAGTGATGGCCGTAAGCACATCAGCTGTAGATCGTGCAAAGCGGAAGCCATATTGCTTGTACGAGAGAAGATCATGGGATGTTAGGTGGTTAACCACTTCGGCGTTGATTAGGGCTACGAAAACTTTGCCGAAGAGGGGTAAGAGACTGATAGGACGGTAATTAGAAGGGTCAGAGGGGTCGCCAGAGTTCTTAAAGGCAGGAGCATCTCTCTCTCTCTCTATCTATCTGGTTTAGACTGTTTGTATCTATCTATCTATCTTCATATTTTATATTCTTTAGAAAAATAAGGGTTTTCTTTTTTTGTCTGACAATTCAAGTCGATCAGCCCTGATATGGATTTCCTTGCAATGACTGAATTCAGCATTCATCTAATTATCTTCTGTCTACCGTTTTGTCGGCAGCATCCGATCAGTTCGAACAACGTGGGTGCTAACATTTCGATCAGCTCTACGCATATTACATCCGATTTCCCTCCAAGTTTAATAAGTCTTCCGGTCTTTATTTATAGACGTTATACGGATCAAATCTATGAGAAGACCAATCTTTTAATATAGCCTTCCGATGTTTTAAGAATTGGATTTGCTTCCTTTCTCCTCGATTATCATTCCAGATGGATTTCTCACTGTTGCACTGACGAGAATTCAGTTTCTTGATTTTTATATCATTCTATGCCTTTCTATAAATCGATCCATCAATATATATGAATCCATGATTGTCTGTTGATTATGTATCTGTCATTTAAAGGACAGCGCAGTCAATTCATATCTATCTATCTATCTATCTATCTATCTATCTATCTATCTATCAGTCTCTTCATATCTATCTATCTATCTGGTTTAGAATGTTTGCATCTATCTATCTATCTATCTATCTATCTATCTATCTATCTATCTATCTATCTATCTGGCTTAGACTGTTTGCATCTATCTATCTATCTATCTATCTATCTATCTCAGTCACTTTATATCTCTCTATCTATCTATCTATCTGGTTTAGACTGTTTGCATCTATCTATCTATCTATCTATCTATATCAGTCACTTTATATCTATCTATCTATCTATCTATCTATCTATCTATTTAGTTTAGAGATTTGCATCTATCTATCTATCTATCTATCTATCTATCTATCTATCTATCTAAGTTTCTTCATTATCTATCTATCTATCTATCTGCTTTTTTGTCTATATTTCTGAGATGAGGTATTGTAACTATTTGCATAGTTCGGACTGTTGTCCTCATCTTTATTGTCATATTCATGACGTCTCGGCCTTTGTATGCGCCGGCTTTCTTCACGTGATATAATTTGCCCAGTGGATAAAAGCGTTGGTTGACTTGACCCAAAGGGTTGTGAGTTCAATTCCTGGCCGCAGCAAACGTGAACAAAAAAACTTGGAGTGTTGAGTTACTAAAGGGTAATAACTGAAATTGAAAAAAGAATGACACGTGGAGCTAGATCAATCTCTGCCGCTGGACGAAATAAAGGGTTAGGTTCGAAATTCCAACGAATATCACCTGAGGAATGCCGGAGCCTACAATGGCCGAAACGTCGTGAATATGACAATATAGATGAAAACAACAGGCCGAACAATGTAAAATAGTGTAAATCAATCCATCAATATATGTGAATCCATAATTGTCTGTCTGTTATGTATTCGTCTTTTAAATATCCTATTCTATCTAGTCTATTCATATCTATCTATCTATCTATCTATCTATCTATCTATCTATCTATCTATCTATCATCTTAGGTATGACGATAAACTACATCCGCGGCCTGGGTAAGACGATAAACTACGTCCAACATCAAGGCCTCTAATCAGGAGGTTCTGAGGAGCGTGGAACCACCTCTTAATTGCTTCTGTTCCCAGCTCCACCATAACCCGGGGAGGTAGCACCTGTTAGGGGGAGGGTCCCAGCTATGGGTAAATAGTTAACCCCCAAATAGGGGTCAAAACACTATGAAAGTGCAATAATAGTTATTAATATCAGAAATACATTTTTGTAAAAAAATATTACCAGCAATACATTTTTGAAAAAAAAAAAAATACCAGCAATAAAAAAATTGTCGGCATTAAATAACCCATTGAAGTTGATATGCCGTAAAACAAAACGAACCAATCTATCTATCTATCTATCTATCTATCTATCTATCTATCTATCTATCTATCTATTCAGTTCACATTTATCAATCTTTTTTTAATCATTTCACCCCAAGCAAGGACATAAAGCCACTAAGATGCAAGGCCTTACTGAGTGTTAGGGAATCTGAAAAAAAAACTACTATTAAGGAGAGAGGATAATAAAATAACAAGAAGACAGAAGATAACGATTGACATTGCATTTAAATTTGTGAATACCAAAGTTTACTGGGAAGCAAGAAGCCGGAAAAGAGTTTCACAAGCGAGAAGCGTAGATCTTACGATTACATTTAGCCATTTCTCTTTTAAGGTGACGATACCTTGCCACCAATATAAACAAGTGATTAAATTAATAAAGCCTATGTACCATAGCGGAAAGATCATCAGAACAATTACCATGAAAGTATTTATAGAAAAGACACAGTGAAGCTACGTTACGGATCTGGGAAAATTAATGAAGCCGGCGCCAGGTCAGGACCAATAACATTGCATATTTTTCTTTGAATTCTATCAGGAATTTCTAAATATATAGTAGGAGCACCAGACCAGATGTGGCAGCAATATTCAAAACAAGGTCGAACTTATAAATATGTACGACAGATCATGTCAAGAAAAAATTCTAGCGCGACAACTTTCTTAGCTACAGACTTAGCAATTGTTTTAATAAAATCTTTTCACTTCATGATAGCTTAAAATGTTCGTCTGAGATGGCGTGGTGGGTTAGCCTTCTGGGGGCTAGCATCAGCCATGCTGATGAAAGGCAACAAAAAGATTCTCTTATGATTAAAATGGAGCAGTTTCGTTTTTGAGGCGTCAAAATTAAGCAACCATTACCTGTCCCATTTAGCAAAGTCATTTTTTAGGAGAACTGCCAATTTGACCGCGGATCAAACAGATTAGACTAACCATCAAGACAGGAGTAAATAGTTGTGTCATCAGCATAGTTGATAACTGATGAAAATCAATCCATGAATAGACCCTTGGAGAACACCTATCTGTCTATCTATCTGTGGATGTGTGGGTGGCGTAATGGATAGTGTCTGGAATGAGAATTTAGAGGGCCGATTTCGAAATCCACTCAGGTTCGTTACATCCATCTCCTCACTTATCGGTTAAATATTTGGATATTTATATAGAAAACTCAGCGGAATTGATAGTAGAAGTTTTATCTGGGAAATTTACTTGGAAGAAAAGGATTTATTCGTACAATCCATAACACGTTTTGGGTTTAAATAATCCACAAAATGTTGATAAACCATAAAAAACAGATCTGTTTCTAATTCTCATTGCCCAGTTATAACTTCGCCAATTAGTATGAAGCGATCTTCTGAAAATTACGACTCTTTGCGCTGCCATACCTCAATCTAATAAGTTTTTCAAACTTGGAAGTTTTAATGTTTTCATTTCTATCTATCTATCTATCTATCTATCTATCTATCTATCTATCTTTGACTGTTCACATCTATCTATCTATCTATCTATCTATCTATCTATCTATCTATCTGTTTTGGATTATTCTCATCCATCTATCTATCTATCTATCTATCTATCTATCTATCTATCTATCTATCTATCTATGTTGTCCTGGTACTGCATTAAACTAAATCCGATGAGTAGACTCTAACCCAGTAAATCTAGACGTCTTTTCAATACTTAGTTATAACTTTCAAGTCTAATCATCTCCAAATTTGGTGGTACGCGTTATGGCTCCATTTATGGAGTAGATAGAACTGTCTGTGGAAAACTGAGTCTGTGACTTGCTTAGCTCATTGCGAGAGATAAATTCCTACCTTCCGTTAAGTCATTCATCACACTGATATAAAAACCTTTGATTGAATCCACTGATATATATTAATTTTGTGAAATACATCGCTTCGATGCTCTGTCACTCATCATTATTGATTTTTTTAGTCGAGGATGATTTCGGGTTTAAATCTGAATACAGGCATAAAACAATCCATACATCTAGTTAAATGTAAATATAAGATCATCATTGATAATAGTCAAAAGTATAGCAGAAAGCGTCTGGATGTATAGAAAATTTGGAAATAATTTACGTCCAGAAAAGAAGAAAACCTTAGGAACTTAAGAAAATATTAAATAAAAAACGTAACTGTCAGTCATTGTTTATGAAGTTTCTTTAAAAGAGTGAATTGCTTTAAAATATAGGAATATATATATATATATATATATATATATATATATATATATATATATATATATATATATATATATATATATAATATTCCATATATATATATATATATATATATATATATATAATATAAAAGGTTAATAATTTTAATTTACATTGGAATTGTAATCTCGATCCAAATCATTAGATCTACAAAATTTGTAGTCTGATGGATTGTATCATGATTACGATTCCAATCCAATAAATTATAACTATGGAACATTAGTGTTTGAGCCTTTTATATTATATTCTTACTCTGTCCTGGAAATTGAGTTCTACTTGGATCCTATCCCCTTGCGAATTTATATATATATATATATATTGACCACTAATATTATCAATCTCTCTCTCTCTCCATATATATATATATATATATATATATATATATATATATATATATATGAAGAAAAATATACGGAAAAAACAAACATAAATCCTAATATGCAATTATGCTGTTTTAATGTTAATATAATAAAACAGCATAATTGCATATTAGATTTTTTTTTGTTTTCCGTATATTTTCTTCATACTATCGAATCTATATCCATATATTTGCTTTTATATATATATATATATATATATATATATATATATATATATATATATATATATATATATATTAAAGACATTTTTTTATTTAACGTTGTTATTTTATAGATACAAGTATTTAAAAATTCTCTGACATTCAGGCCAGTAAATAACATTTATTTAATACTGTTTTTCATAAAAATTTCTCGAAAATGTCTTTCTATAAATAACAACGTTAAACATAAAAAATTTCTTAATAAATAAATTGTCGGACCTATATATATATTAATATATATATATATAAAGCAAATATATATCGTTTGATGCTTTGGCATAAATCATCAGTGATATTTTAGCCGAGGATCATAACTAGTTTCGGGTTTTATATCCTCATGCATCTTCACCACGTGAACCCAGTCGATGGTGATCAGTTATTGACTTGTGTACTAATGCCGTCAGGTACAACTCTTCTTATACAAGTATGACTATAACTCTTTCTATACTATAAGTCTCTCCTAATCCACTGCGAATCTTCTTCGCCTTTATATTTTTATCACGAGCAACTTCGTGTCCAACAGCTTCTTTGCTTTCTTCTTGCTTTTCTGCATTGTCTTCTGTAGAAGTTTTGCAAATTTCTTTCTAGTTAAAGGCCATTTTCGCTGTGCATAGTGACGATATCTGGAATTGGGAAAGTAACCATTATTATCTATCTATTTGTGTATGTATATATAGCTATCCTAATTTCTGTCTTTCGTTTTGGCAGACAGTATAGATTATGTATTTTCTGATAAGGGAGTCAGAAAGAATGACTGACCTAGGTTTGTTCTTATCTGTCTGTTTATCTTGTCGCCAGCCTGTTTGTCTATGAAGGTAAATAACATTCTTTTGTATACTGAAATTTAGAGAAACGTAAGTCGTCTACATGAGCATCACTGAATCTACCACTCTCATAGCATAGGATGAGATAGATAGATAGATAGATAGATAGATAGATAGATAGAATGAAAATAGATAGATAGATAGATAGATATGAACAGCGACATAGATAGATAGATAGATAGATAGATAGATAGATAGATAGATAGATAGATGTAATCACAGTGAAACAGATAAGAACCGATTGATATACATATGAAATAAGATGTATAGTTTGGTTCGAACCAACATACAGATCGATCGATCGATCGATCGATAGATAGATAGATAGATAGATTGATAGATAGACATAATGTTAGACAGAGAGACAGAGAAACCGTTAGATAGAGGGATAAATAGATAGACATTTAGATATAAAGATAGGCAGATAGGCAGAGAGACATACTGTTAGATAAATAAAGATATAAGCAGTGAGATAGATAGATAGATAGATAGATAGATACACCGACAGACAATGTTAGATAGATAGATAGATAGATAGATAGATAGATAGATAGATAGATAGATAAGATAGATGTCAAAGGAGACCTTAGATACATAGATAAGAGAGACATACTGTTAGATAGATAGATAGATAGATAGATAGATAGATAGACTTTTAGATAGAAAGACAAGTAGATAGATAGACAGATAGGCAGAGAGATATCGTGTTAGATAGATAGATAGATAGATTGTCACATACATAGATAGACAGAGAGACATACTGATAGATAGATAGATAGATAGATAGATAGATAGATAGATAGATAGATAGATAGATAGATAGATAACAGCCTGAGATAGACAGAGCAGAACAGACTGAGATAGATAGATAGATAGATAGATAGATAGATAGATAGATAGATAGATTGGTCTTATGCGGTGATGGCTTTGTCTATGTATTTATATGTATCTTTCTGTCTCATGGTCGATTTGTAGATGGAAAGTAACAAGAGACAATGATCCATCTTTTCTAATAATGATTGCCGTCATTGCTTACACATCCCTCCATCATTTCGGCTAAATGCATCTGCCAATAAAAAAAGAAAGAAAACGTTTCTCTCTTGTCAGAGGCCAAATGCAATCATTCTGCCTTTTGCTTCATTTCACAGATCAATGCCAAGACCGAAATGCTTCCCTCATCCATAAGGATCAATACTTCCGCAAAGACCTACTCCTACACGTTCTGTCCGACATTGTCCAAAAGTTTACATTCCCCGATATATATATATATATATATATATATATATATATATATATATATATATATATATATATATAATATGCATAAATATATTGATAATCTATGCAGAATAAGAGAAGCTCAAGCAGATAGTATGTAAGTAAGTATAGTATAGTATAGTATATATATATATATATATATATATATATATATATATATATATATATATATATATATATGAATATATATATGAACTTGCACAAAGATATAAAGATATCTACCTACCTAAGCACATATATTTGTACGTGTCTGTGCAGAATAAGTGAAACTCATGCACGTAGTAAGTACAATAATGTGTGTATACACACACACACACACACACACACACACACATATATATATATATATATATATATATATATATATACATATATATATATATATATTTTTCTATTTTAATAAAAATATTTTTAAATCGAAATACAAAAGCCTTCATATTTCAATACTTTCATTATAATCTCTTATAATAAATATATAATAATAATATATTGCCTTATTTTATATTAAGTACTTTTTTAAAGTTAATGCTACGAACTATGGATTTTACTCCAGTTGTTCTTTCACGCATTTGTATATATATATATATATATATATATATATATATATATATATATATATAATTATCATTTCCAAAATGTTTAACATCTAAAATTGTCTAAACTAATTCAGTTTGTTTTCTCTATTTTTTGAATCTTGGCAATTATTTATTGAAAAAAAAACCTTTGTTATTCAGCTGTAAATAGAACAGGTTAAAACTGTTTTGTGGCAGTCACAATTTACTGTTAACTGTGAAATGGTAAGAGGAAAAAGATCACTCAGGCCTTCAGTAATGGTACCAACATTCATACTCAGGTTTTCATCTTCAAAGTCAATTGAACATCAAGAGAATGATGAATAAGTTTTAAAAATAGGGAACAGTAGAGAGAAAAACTCGATCAGTAGGTCACAACAAGAAGAGGGATCATCATTTCAACTTACAGCTAAAGAGATCAATTAAAAATGATCGAACTCAATTCATAAGACGGTTGGCACGTGAAAGAGGAGTTTCAGCTATGACAGTCCAAAGATCAATGAAAATGAAATCATGCGTGAAACTTGTGAGACACCTTGTTACTCCAGTACAGAATGTTAGAAAGTTAGAGAGGACGAAGATCATCTCGAGTAAGTTGAAAAATGATCCTGGAATGACATATATGTATTTGAACCTAATTTCAATCCTTCATGATCTTTCGAATCTTATCCATGATTAATTAATTTCATTTATAATGGATTTCATCACGATTCTTCTGTTAAGCTTGGAGAGCAATTAAACATTCTTATTGCTAAAAGTAGAGTCCAGCATTGTTAGAAAGACCTTGGAAAATTCTTGGATATTTTTAATCAATTCTAAGTTACAAAGTTTCAAATCTTAATGTAACAAATGTTCAATTGGGTTCTTACACGACGTGGACAAGTTTGCTGTTTCCCTCCCCATACCCTTATGCACACACACACACATACACACACAAACACACACACATATATGTGTATGTATATACATGTATATGTTATTGTGTATATTCGCATGTGTTTTTGAACATAGAAATATAGGTCCTTGCTGGATTAGATAATCGTTATATTTATCTTTATATATTTGATTTGTAACCTGTAGTCGATATTAAATTTGTCAAATTTTCTCAATTACAAAGCGGCCCTTTAAATAAACGCAATTTTACTTTCCTTCGTCCCATCTCTCTCCCCCACCTCGTCTTTCCCTCCCTCTTATTCTAACATTAGATTGTCTATGGTGTGTGTATGTCACCACGAAATGTATCTTTATGCATTAGACATCCGTCAACATTCATTTTTTTCTCTCTTAATTAAACCCCTTCCACCCATCTCTCCTAAAATTGTCTCTGTTAAGGTTTAATCTCCCTCCTCCTCATACTTACACTCTCTCTAAATTCTGTTTTTTATTTCCGGAGATGTTTTTTTTTCTGTTTTCTTTTTGAATTTGTAAGTCTGATGAATTGGATCGTATTTACGATTCCAATGGAATAAATTATGACCATGGAATATTAGTGTTTAAGCCTTTTTACTATATATATATATATATATATATATATATATATATATCATATAAACATATATGGGGTATCTATAGTTATCTATACATTGTGCATAAATATTCGTAAAATTATAAAATCAAGATATAAACATCTCACTATTTATATATTCGGACTATTCTCCTTATCTTTGTCGCCATATTTATTATTATTTCTATTGTACATTCTTCGATGTTGGAATAAAAAATTTTCGTCAAAATTAAGTCGGTCCTGAAAAACGTCAAAAAACGATAGAACGAAATATCTCGCACAATCTATTTGGTTGATTATTCCGACATCGACTCTCTCCAATCCACTGAACCCCCTGGCGACTGCTACTACCATATTTAGAGTATTAACAAAGAATTTTCCGCCGTTGTACGTGCCATGTTTAATGGATGTCTCAGTTATCTTCAGTTCTGTTAACCGTATTGAATATCTTTCGGTCCTATCACTGGATCTAACTAACCCTTTATTTCATATGTCCTTAATAATGGGGTAGTGTTCTCAGAAATATAGACAGATACCGACATCTTTTTAACAGATATATATTTGCAAAATTGCACAAAAATATCTTGAGATACTAATGAGTTTTATTCACTAAATCGGTCTTCAACCACAGCCTCAAACGACTTCGGGTCCGACGTTCTCCTTGTTTATGATGGTGAATGCTGCCATAATCCTTGCTTTCAGTTCATCTTTTGGTGTTAACTTTTTTTGGTCTCTCCTTCAATTGCACCCCACATTAAATCAATGGGCTTAGTCTGACGCAGCAATCTAGTTGTGGTGGTCTGACAGGCTGTGTTTCCGACATCGACCTGACTCTCCCAACTCCACCTCTTGACCACCTCGTCAAGTCACTTGATGTAGGCGTCCATGTTGAGTCTGAGTCCCTGTGACTGCTGAATGGACTAACGTCACTTATTATCTGGTGGGAGAGTTATATCATAACAATCCTTCTGAATAGGTATATTCCGGTATAACAGGTAGACGGTGTCCTAGTTCTACGTGCCAAAACAGTTTAATGGATGTATATTATCAGTTATCTTCTGTTAATTCCCTCTCCAAGTTCTGTCAATCTAAGAGTGATGTCATCTCACAATCCTCACACTTGCTGTCCATATGTGTCCTCCGCTTAAATCAATGGAGTCTTAAATGCCAACCTTAACATTATCGCAAAGATCAAAATTTCATAATCTGAATCAACTAAGCTGTTAGATCCTCCTTTGTAAATCACTAGTGGGTCATACGTATCGAAACCGACAACTATGATGTCAGATCCATAGATATATATATATATATATATATATATATATATATATATATATATATATATATACACGCACACACATATATATATATGTACATATATTCATATATATGTGTGTATGTGTGTGTGTG